ATAGGTATGTCACCTAGCGGTGCATCAAGAACATAATTCTTATGTGCAGCAATGAGAATACACCTTAGATCACGGACTCAGTCTGCATCATTGCTACTATCATCTTTCAACTTAGTTTTCTCTAGGAACATATAAAAAACATAGGGAACTATAACGCGAGCTATTGATCTACAACATAATTTGTAAAATACTATCAGGACTAAGTTCATGATAAATTAAAGTTCAATTAATCATATTACTTAAGAACTCCCACTTAGACAGACATCCCTCTAGTCATCTAAATGATCATATGATCCAAATCAACTAAACTATGTCTGGTCATCACGTGAGATGGAGTAGTTTTCAATGGTGAACATCACTATGTTGATCATATCTACTATATGATTCACACTCGACCTTTCGGTCTCCAGTGTTCCGAGGCCATATCTGCATATGCTAGGCTCGTCAAGTTTAACCTGAGTATTCTACGTGTGCAAAACTGGCTTGCACCCGTTGTATGTGAACGTAGAGCTTATCACACCTGATCATCACGTGGTGTCTCGGCACGAAGAACTGTCGCAACGCTGCATACTTAGGGAGAACACTTATACCTTGAAATTTTAGTAAGGGATCATCTTATAATGCTACCGCCGAACTAAGCAAAATAAGAATATAAAAGATAGACATCACCTGCAATCAAAATATGTGACATGATATGGACATCATCATCTTGTGCCTTTGATCTCCATCTCCAAAGTACCATCATGATCTCCATCGTCATCGACATGACACCATGATCTCCATCATCTTGATCTTTATCAACGTGTCATCACATGGTCGTCTTGCCAACTATTGCTATCGCATAGCGATAAAGTAAAGCAATTATATGGTGCTTGCATCTTATGCAATAAATAGACAATCATAAGGCTCCTGCCAGTTGCCGATAACTTTAACAAAACATGATCATCTCATAGAACCCATCATGTCTTGACCATATCACATCACAACATGTCATGCAAAAACAAGTTAGACATCCTCTACTTTGTTGTTACAAGTTTTACGTGGCTGCTACGGGCTTCTATCAAGAACCGTTCTTACCTATGCATCAAAACCACAACGATTTTTTGTCAAGTATGTTGTTTTAACCTTCAACAAGGACCGGGCATAGTCAAACTTGATTCAACTAAAGCTAGAGAAACAGACACCCGCTAGCCACCTGTGTGTGAAGCACGTCGGTGGAACCAGTCTCATGAACGCGGTCATGTAATGTCGGTCCGGGCTGCTTCATCCAACAATACCGCCGAATCAAAGTAAGACGTTGTTGGTAAGCAATATGACTATTATCGCCCACAACTCTTTGTGTTCTACTCGTGCGTATAACATCTACGCATAGACCTGGCTCTAATACCATCGTTGGGGAACGCAGTAATTTCAAAAAAATCCTACAGTCACGCAAGATCTATCTAGGTGATGCATAGCAACGAGATGGGAGAGTGTGTCCACGTACCCTCGTAGACCGAAAACGGAAGCGTTTCAATAACGCGGTTTGATGTAGTCGAACTTCTTCACGATCCAACCGATCAAGTACCGAACATATGGCACCTCCGCGTTCAGCACACGTTCAGCTCGATGACGTCCCTCGTGCTCTTAATCCAGTTGAGGACGAGGGTGAGTTCCTTCAGCACGACGGCGTGGCGACGGTGATGATGATGCTACCGGCGCAGGGCCTCGCCTAAGCACTACGATGGTATGATTGAGGTGTGTAACTGTGGAGAGGGGCACCGCACACGGTTAAGAGAAACTTGTGTCTTTGGGGTGCCCCCTGCCCCCGTATATAAAGGAGGGAGGGAGAGAGGCCGGCCCCCTAGGGGCGCGCCAAGTGTATGGAGTCCTACTAGTACTTCCAAGTCCTAGTAGGAATCCTTTCCTTTTTAGGAGTAAGAGAGAAGGAAGGAGAGAGGGAGTAGGAAAGGGCAAGGGGGGCGTCGCCCCCTTCCCCTAGTCCAATTCGGACCTATGAGGGGGAGCCACCTCCCCTTGGCCTGCCTCCTCTATTTTCCGTATGGCCCAATAAGGCCCATTACTTCTCCCGATGAATTCCCGTAACTCCCCGAGTACTCCGAAAAATACCTGAATCACTCGGAACCTTTCCGATGTCCGAATATAGCCTTCCAATATATCGATCTTTATGTCTCGACCATTTCGAGACTCCACGTCATGTCTGTGATCTCATCCGGGACTCCGAACAAACTTCGGTCATCAAAACACATAACTCATATTACAAATCATCATCGAACGTTAAGCGTGCGGACCCTACGGGTTCGAGAACTATGTAGACATGATTGAGACACATATCCGATCAATAACCAATAGTGGAACCTAAATGCTCATATTGGCTCCTACATATTCTACGAAGATCTTTATCGGTCAAACCGCATAACAACATACATTGTTCCCTTTGTCATCGGTATGTTACTTGCCCGAGATTCGATCATCGGTATCATCATACCTAGTTCAATCTCGTTACCGGCAAGTCTCTTTACTCGTTCCGTAATGCTTCATCCCGCAACTAATTCATTTGTCACATTGCTTGCAAGGCTTATAGTGATGAGCATTACCGAGAGGGCCCAGAGATACCTCTCCAATACACGGAGTGACAAATCCTAATATCAATCTATGCCAACCCAACAAACACCTTCGGAGACACCTGTAGAGCATCTTTATAATCATCCAGTTATGTTGTGACGTTTGATAGCACACCGGTATTCGGGAGTTGCATAATCTCATAGTCTAAGGAACATGTATAAGTCATGAAGAAAGCAGTATCAATGAAACTATAACGATCATAATGCTAAGCTAACGGATGGGTCTTGTCCATCACATCATTCTCCTAGTGATGTGATCATGTTTATCAAATGACAACACATGTCTATGGTCAGGAAACATAACCATCTTTGATTAACGAGCTAGTCAAGTAGAGGCATACTAGGGACACTCTGTTTTGTCTATGTATTCACACATGTACTAAGTTTCCGGTTAATACAATTCTAGCATGAACAATAAACATTTATCATGATATAAGGAAATAAATAATAACTTTATTATTGCCTCTAGGGCATATTTCCTTCAGCATACTAGGCAACCAGGGCGTTCAATCCCGATAGGGGAATTTCAAGAGCACAACAGATCCCCTCTCTTTCACATGGAGAGATCTCCTCCTTGGGGATGGCCATTTGATAGTAAAGCGGGGAGGAGTAGAACGGAAGGTAACAGGGAAGGGAGGCAAAGCTTCGCGAGGAGATGCTGGAGCAGGGTCGCGCGAGAGGAACGAGGCGGGGGAAATTCTCACGAGTGCGGAGGCGTCCTCTGCCCGGGGAAAGAGAGGGGTTCAGGCTGGCATGGCCCACAGATTGAGTCGACCAAATGTCGAGCTTGAATTTCCTAGCGAGGGTTTACGGGTGGGTTTTGGGCCCAGGAACAAGGAAGGAATCCCGGGGGAAATCACGCAACCAAATGAGCCCTCAAAGGAGGGAGTGCCCTCATGCCCGATCCGCCACTTCGCAGAGGCCGCTGCCAGCCGGTGCCGAGCACCGCCCCTCCCGGACTCCTCCATGTGTATTCCTCTCTGCCCCCTTGCCCCATGCCGACGAGGCCATCGGCCTTGAATCGCGCAGCCGTCTGCCATGGCCTGCTGAGTAAATAGGTAGTTTTTTGATTAATTTAATCCAAGAATAAATCAGTAGCATGGCATTGACAAAAACAAAACATGCTGATATTCGATCATGCAAGCACATACTACGCTTATCACAGACACATCTACGTGTAATGCTAGCATGGCTAAAATAGAAATTAGTAGGAGCAGGATAAACGAGTTATACCCTCCAATCGGCCAGGCAGAGGCCGCGGTGGCGGCAACAGTGACGTCCTCCACGGTCTTCTTCTCGGCTTCAAGTTTCTCGACGGCGGCTTTGTCGGCGTCGGTGGACATGGTGACGATGAAGAAATGGATTAGGAAAACAATTCCCTATGACTGACCGGCTAAAGCTTGGTTTAGTCGTGTCGCTCGCTTCCCACGCGCGCGGACACCCACCAAGGTCAGGGCCCCATGCATCCCTGCGACCCCCACGCACAGCCCTCCTTCCCCTTCTTCCTTATCCTTTTATTTCCTCTCGCTCGAACTCCTCCTCCCAGATGCTCGCCGCCATGGCCGCCTTCTTCCCCCCTCGCCACCCGCGGGCACGCCCGTGAGCTTCTTGGTCATAACCCGTGTGGCTGCATGTTGTGTTTCCGTGGCCATGGCCTGCGAGTTCTTTGGCCATGGCGGAGACCATGATTTTTTGGGGGGAGCTACAACCGCTGCGGTCGCGTGTTGCCACCGACCTTTTTTTTTGCTGGAACGCGAGGTCGGCGGCCATGGACGGCGATGTTATTTTGCTGCACCATGCAATTTTTTTGCTGGAACCGGTGCTACAATTGTTAGACAGACACGGCGGCAACAGGGGTGCCGCAACCTGCAGCAAGGAATGCTAGAACCTATTAGGTCGTTTGCTACAACCGACGCTGCAACAATGTTGTGACATGCGCGACGAGATACAAACCAGCGGTGACGGCGACGACAATTTTTTGCTGCAACCGTGTCTCCGTTTTGCTGCTACGATCGTGTGATCCTGGTCGCTCCAATCGGACGGATGCCAGCCCGACCGGCCGAAAATTGGGCCGGCCGGCCGGCGCCCAGTGGCGGAAACGATGAGAAGGACAGTCGAGCGAGTGCACACACGCAGTGGTAGTTCGCCGAGAACAGTGCACGGGGGCGCCGAGCCGAGCCGCGCGGCCCACTCGCAGTCACACGACGGACCAACCCACCTCGCCCCGCCCCAACCCGCACCCGGTCCACGCCCCCAAATTTCTGGTGGCCTCCGTGCCTCTCGATCCCCCCACTCCTCTCCCCGCGCCCGTCCTCCCCGTCCGGCGCCGCCGCGGCCCGCATGTAAGCGATCGCCGCCCCGCCCGTCCGGCCGGCCATGGCGTCCACGCTGCTGCGCAGGGTGTGGGGCACCGTGCTGGCCCGCGCGGGGCCGCGCGACCCGGACGCCTCCTCCTCCTCCCCGCGCCGCCGCGGCGCCCCGGCGGCGTCGGCGGCGGCGGAGTACGGGTCCCTGGGCGCGCTCGACGCCGTGCCGATCGACGTGCTGGCGCAGATCCTGCGCCTGCTGGGCCCCGGCGACGCGGCGCGCTCCGTCGCCGTGTGCCGCACCTGGCGCCTCCTCGCCTCCGACAACGCGCTCTGGGCCTTCTTCCTCAGCCTCGGCCCCGACCCCTGGGACCTCGTCGTCTTCGCCGAGACCCACCTCGCCGCCGGCCCCGCCGAGCCCCGCAGGTTGCCCCTGCCCCCTCCTCATCCTCCTCCTCCTGCCTCCTCACGCGGCCCGAGCCTTTCCGTTTTGGAAGCGTCCCCGCTTCGTTCGCCTCCTAACTAACTAACAGCGCCGTGCCGTGCCACTGCGTACGCAGCGTCTACTTCGGCACCGTTCGCGTCCCGCCGCAGCTCTCCTTCAAGCGCATCTACGGACAGCGAGCGCTCGTCCCCGGCTCTATCATAGTCGATGGTAAGTAGTAACAGCCAGCATCTCCCTTTCACGCGCTTAATCATCTAGTTAGCCAGCGATTGTATAATAAGTGTGTATATATATATATATATGCATTGATTGCTTCATTAAGAGATTGCACAATCAACAAATTCCCCCATTTGGACAACTCTCATGATCTTACCTTCAGTCACTACACATTTTTTCCCTAGACGGCCATGCGTCCGGACTCCAGATTCCACTGTTAACGGTAACAGAACATAACATGGTTCAAGCATCCGGATGCAATTGAAAGCAAACACTTCAATTACTAGACATGATTAGTTGTCTTCAGTAGTCATTAGGTCGTTATGGTAGGCTGATTGTGTCTGGCCCTTTGCTTTGTGTGACGTGATAGTCATTTTTGGAGGGGAATCGGCATTGTTTATTGACCCCTGTTGTTTTGATTTTCTGGCCTCCTTTAAAAGGGTGCATTCCCTGTTGTTTGTTTTCTTAAATTATAGGTGGATCAGGCTATTGCAAGTACGGCTGGAGCAAGTATGCTGCTCCTTCTGGGCGTTGTGCTACTTTTCTGGTAAGCTGTGGTGATTAGTAAAATATGAAATATACCAAGCCATCGCGCGTCAATCATTTATCATGACAAAAAAAAATTCTTTGTGGAACACTCTGACCAATGTTGGTTTAACAACTTCACAGTGATAATAAGATGATTGAATTGATGATATCATTTATGTCCTAATTTTGCTGGAATCATCATGCAGGAATTTGGTAACATTGAGTCCCCTATGTATGCAAGACTTCGTCACTTTTTCTCGACAATCTATAACAGGTCTGTAACATCTTTTAAGTTCCACTGCAATATCTTGTATATAAAATTTTTGCTTTACCTTTTTTGCTCCATTTCTATAGACAACATTTTCCGCTGATGATTTGAGTTCTCACTGGGTGAATTCACTTGAAACACACACACACACACAACTTATATTGTGAAAACTTTCGTTGACTAGGTTGGTCTACTATCAAATTGGCTGCACCATCTCTTGCTTGATCACGACACACGAGCAATCAATATGCATATCCAGATATTCTTGCCATAAACTCTATTTATTCTTGACTTTTTTATAGGATGCATGTAAAGCCTTCTGCGCGACCAATTGTTGTTGTCCTTCCCCTCTGTCACTCCGATGGTTAGTATTTTTAGGTGATACAATTTTCTACTTTATCATTGTCTATTCTGTCCACATTGTTTACCTTCATCACTATTTCTATATGGCAGCCCTGTTATATGGTTACATTTCTTTGCCCATCAATTTGTTTCAATAATCAGGGCCCCTCCCTCAGTTCCATTTCAATTAAGAAAAGAAACCATGAATGAGTTCTTGCAGCGTCAGACAGCAAAAACTAAAGGAGTGTCTACCAGCCTGCCACTAGAGCACAGCATAAAGCAAACCAACGAAACCAACACAATATGAGTTCAAAAGACCCCAAACAGGCACGCAGGCCAGGGGGTGTCACAGACTAGTAACTAGAGAACACCACATGGATGGAGTCTTCTTCGTTGGGGTGCTGTTTCAGATATTCCAGGGTGCTCTATCCACCATGTGCAGCATTCACCACCGCCTCCTTCAAGGATACAGAGCCAACCCACCTTTTGCAGTGTGTCAGTCTTGTTCCAGTGCAAAAGTTTCCTTCAGACGCATCCACAGCAAGGTCTGAAATTCCATCAGGAGCCCTCCCTGTAAATCCTGGAACAGTTTTGTCCAATCTCTCAAATGACGAGAGACCAATCCTAGCACCTGTTTCATAGAGATCCAGGAGCACCTATAAAAACAATAGAGTTCCTAAAATTCCACAGCCCCCACAGGACAGCAGAAGAGACTACATTAAGATGAAGATATTTTTTGCGACAGAGCCAGAGTTTTGCAACTGATTCAAAGTTAACAATAGAAACTTGAAACATTTTTTCAACATCTGCCCATCAATTTGTCACTATGGTTGATGAACAATTTCAAACTTGTTTTTCTGACCGTATGTTTCTAACTCAACTTGGCACAGATACCGAGGCTGCTAGGGCCTCAAGAAGGCAATACAAGGAGACATTGTACTCGGTTTTGTTCGACATGAATGTTCCTGCTGTTTGTGCTGTTGATCAAGTAAGCATTTTTATGTTCCCTTGGTCATTTTGTTTGCCCTTACATTTATCACCTCTTGATGTACTTTTTGGTTCAACCTTGTGTACCACTGTCCATTTGAATAATTTTGTTGTCATAATGAGATTTGAGACACTATTTTTTTAAGATTTAGCTTTGGAAAAGTAGAAGATTCGCATATTATTGTGTCAGAATCCTGAGTCACGGTTCAAGCTGGAAGCCTGGAACTTCTCAATTATGAATTTTCTGTAATACATTTTCTATATTTTGACGTCAAAATTTAAATCGAACCTTGATGTAGTGTAGTCTTGTAGAAGCCACCTTTCTGTTTACTTATTCATTAACTTTACCTGCTGAAGAAGATATTTTGTGAGATTGTTGACATGTGTTTTTGCAGGCACTCCTAGCTTTGTATGCTGCTAGACGAACCTCTGGTATTGTTGTCAACATTGGATTCAATGTCACAACCGTTGTTCCCAGTAAGTTCTGGTGTAAGGTTCGACTCAGTCGACCATCTTACTGTTTTCTTCAGTATCTGATGTATCTTCTCTTAAGATCAGTAAACATGGCCGATATTCCAAGCCTTTAGGCCTAACCACAATTTTATTACATCGAATATCAACTTAATGCAAAGAACCTGCTTGATTATTGATAAGACTATGTGTGGGCTGTAGACTGATAATTATTCATGGTCGGGCTTTGTCCCAAAATGTTTATAACACATGGAAGTGCGTCTAGATCAAGTGGTAAAAATACCCATTTGTTTTATCTTATGTATTTTCCTTGCAACAGTCTTTCAAGGTAGGGTGATGCGTGAGATAGGCATTGAAACTGTGGGGCAAGGTGCTCTGAAACTTACTGGATTTCTAAAGGAGCTATTGCAGCGAAGGAATATTTCTTTTGAATCACTGTACACTGTTCGGACAATCAAGGAGGTAGGGTTTTTGTTTATTATCCCAATATAGCTAATGTAATTTGTTGTAGCTTGCATTCTCCACATAAATATCACCTAGTGGCCAGTTGTGCTTGTAACTGATTAGTTGGGGGCTACAGACCAACTCATTGTGCTTGAAACCTATATTATTAGTTGAGGGCGACATAGTAACAAACTATTTGTGCTTGAGAGCCATTAGTTGGGCAACCTATTTTGATTATATACATGACAGAAATGGAGATGATAGCTAACACATGATTCTACCTCCCTTTCCTCTTCTCTCTGTAAAGAAAATTTGCTACGTCGCGGCTGATTATGAAGCAGAACTATGTAAAAACACACAAGCTTCCTGTGAGGTGGATGGTGAAGGGTGGTTCACTCTATCAGAAGAAAGATTCAAGATGGCAGAAATCCTTTTCCAGCCCCAGATTGGAGGAGTGTATGTTACCTTCTCTGCTGCGTAACCTTGCTTGTCCATTTCCTTTTAATACGGTTCGCTTACGCTTGCTCGATGTTGGTGTTGCAGTCGTGCTATGGCTTTGCACAAAGCAGTATCTCTATGTATGGATCACTGCTACAACACAGAGGTGCTCCGTGATCACAGCTGGTTCAAGACGGTGGTTTTAGCTGGTGGATCGTCGTGCTTACCTGGTTTGCCAGGTATGCTTGCCTAATGCATTTTAATACTGAACAGCTGATTGGATGTTAACGCATAACACAACAAATCTAGAACACTGATGGATAAGTCTGTATTTTTCACTGTGAACAGAGAGGCTCGAGAAAGAGCTCCACAAACTTCTTCCTCCATACATCTCAGAAGGAATAAGGGTTCTGCCTCCTCCATTTGGCACAGACACCGCCTGGTTCGGTGCAAAGATGATCGGCACTGTAAGGACAGCGTCGATTCTGGTGACCAGTTTATCGCACTTTTATCTTCACTAATAATGACTGCCCTAATTCAGGTGAGCACTTTCTCGGACGCATGGTGCATAAACAAGAAGCAGTTCCGCCAGAAGTCACGCCACAGCGGTTCGTCTTTAGCGAGTGCATGGCGATAGATCCTGACGGCCGCAGCTAGGATTGGCAAAGCCAGGGAAAGAGCCATGAGGTTGTTATCCTCTAAAATATGGTACAGATCTATACAGCATCAGTCCCCAGTGTACATAACAGATATGGTTACATGTATATGGATGATAGATTATTGCGAGTAAATAAAAATGATAGATTGTTATCGGTTATGGGATGCTGTGTAGCACAAGTGAATGCATCTTGTTGTGCGCATTTAGTATGATTCTCTGTCATTTATGTACCCGTACATTATTGTTTTGCAGATGAAATAATACTGTCTATTTATCTTGAACTGGATCACACTAATTTGTGGTTGCCCTTCCAGTTCTTTCTGTTTTTTGAAGTTAAATATGGCTTTTACTCTTTCGGCTGCAAATTATTTGAAGTTCTAGCTTTATCTAAGTCGAAGTTCTCCATACTTGGCCAAGTTTGTTGAAAAATATGTTACTAATGTCTACAGCATCATATATATGTTTGTATGAATATGTTGCATCTAGTGAAACTAATTTGTGTAGTGGATGTTGATGATTTTTATATATAGTCAAACTTTAATTCGACTTAGGATAAATCTAGGATTTCAAGTGCAACCACTCCAATTCTGCGGTCGAAGCACGGATCAAGCCTCATTGAATTGCTACAGTAAGAGACCATCGTGCATGATGGAGATTCACCCAATTCTGCCGTTGAAGCACGAATCAAGCCTCATTGAATTGCCACAATCGTGTATGATGGAGATTCGCCGCAAAGTACATTGGTGAGTGGACTGCCTGATCTAGATAGGCAGCCCAAATTTCCTTTGCGAGGCTCTAAAGAATAATTTTTGTCGTTGGAGTAGTCAGGCCGATGGGAATAAAAAAAAACTCATGTTCTCCATGAAGAGGCCAATCAAGATTTTCTCTAGAGGGACACCATGATCCATTGAGAGAATACCGTGTGGAAATCGAGTATCGGTGGAAACAACATGGTTCTCTAACAAACAGTAGAGATGTTCTATTAGCATTCCAAGTACTACAAAACACAAATTCATTTATACAAGGTAAAAAAACAAAATCCAATGTCACTATGCATTGCTGATTTATTTTTTAGCTCGTAAATGGTTTATTGTTTAAACTTGGAATTGCACATGGCAACATCACCCTCATAAGCATTTAAAGGAGTTACCTATTCCCTCGGTACAATATCAATTGTCACTCGCCCAATATGCGGCCCTATCCAAAAGGAACTCGAAGGTCCCACCAAGGATAGACCCGCATATTGAAACGCTTTTGCAAGGTGGATATCATTACATCAACATTACATAATACATGGGGATACATACAAAGGGCATACAATGCCACACGAATACAACAATACATTATACATAAGAACATCATCCGACTACGGATAAACACAAACAGAAACTCAAACGACATCCACCTTGCTAGCCCAGGCTGCCGACCTGGAACCTATCCCTGATCGAAGCAGAAGAAGAACTCAACGCAAGCAAGCATCGCTCTCGCGTCATGATCATCGCATAACCTGTACCTGCAACTGTTGTTGTAGTAATCTGTGAGCCACAAGACTAGCAAAGCTTAAAGGGAAGGAAGGGGTAAAGTGGTGAGGCTGCAACAGCGACTAAGCATATATGGTGGCTAACATACGCAAATAAGAGCGAGAAGAGAGCAAAAGGAACGGTCGTCAACTAGCAATGATCAAGAAGTGATCCTGAACTCCTACTTACGTCAAACATAACCCAAAGACCGTGTTCACTTCCCGGACTCCGCCGAGAAGAGACCATCACGGCTACACACGCGGTTGATGCGTTTTAATTCGGATCTGGTGTCAAGTTATCTACAACCGGACATTAACAAATTCTCATCTGTCTATAACCGCAGGCACGGCTTTCGAAAGATTATACCCTGTAGGGGTGTCCCAACTTAGCCTATGACAAGCTCTCGCGATCAACGAAGGAATAGACCTTCTCCCAGGAAGACCCGATCAGACTCGGAATCCCGGTTTACAAGACATTTCGACAATGGTAAAACAAGACCAGCAAAGCCGCCCGATGCACCGACAAATCCCGATAGGAGCTGCACATATCTCGTTCTCAGGGCAACACTGGATGAGACATCCTACGAGTAAAACCAGACCTCGAGTTGCCCCGAGGTGGCCCCGCAGTCTACTCGGTCCGGACCAACACTTAGACAAGCACTGGCCCGGGGGGGCTAAAATAAAGATGACCCTCGGGTTGGCCGACCCAAGGGAAAGGGTAGGTGGTGGTGAGGCAAATGGTAAAACCAAGGTTGGGCCTTGCTGGAGGAGTTTTATTCAAGGCGAACTGTCAAGGGGGTCCCATAAATCACCCGACCGCGTAAGGAACGCAAAATCCGGGAACATAACACCGGTATGACGGAAACTAGGGCGGCAAGAGTGGAACAAAACACTAGGCAAAAGGCCGAGTCTTCCATCCTTTACCAAGTATATAGATGCATTAATAATATAAGAGATATTGTGATATCCCAACCAAAATCCTGTCCACCATGGAGAAATCTTCAACTTCACCTGCAACTAGCAATGCTATAAGAGGGGCTAAGCAAAAGCGGTAACATAGCCAAACAACGATTTACATAGGAAAAGTGTCAAAGGTTAGAGGCTAACATGGCAATTTGGGATGGCTTGATAAATAGGTGATAGGCAGTGCCGCAAAGCGATAGAACGAAGCAACTAGCATAGCAATGATAGTAGTGAGATCCAGGGTAGCGGTCATCTTGCCTAAAATCCCGCTAGGAAGAAGAACGAGTCCATGAAGAAGACGAACGGATGAAGCCACGAAGACGAACCAAGCGTAGACGAACGAATCCTCACGATCGCAACGAAACAGGAACTATTGAAAAGAAGCACACAACATAGTAAACAAACCACACAAGAACATGACATGATGCACAACCAAGCATGATGCATGACAAGACTACATGAAGCTACTCATGGCAAGAGATGATGCAAACACGAGCAACACATCAAGGCAAGTTTAAATGAGGCCGGGAACAACATATAACAATTCCGGTAAGTCCTCATATGCATATTTCGAAATTGGTCCAGATCTGAATAAACCTTATGTTCAAGTTGTTAAACAGCAAGTTAAGATGCCCAAAGATGATCTACACGAGATTCTAGTCAAGTTACATATAAAGTTCATTTAGTTCGGAGCTACGGCCTAGAAGATATGAGCAAAACAAGTTAAACATGGCATTGATGCAAAATGCACCCAAACATCAAGCAAACACCTCAAAACAAGGATGCAACATGATAATATGAAGCTACATGCAATTCTAAGCAAGTTTCATATAGAGCACACTCAAAACGGAGCAACCGTTCAACATACACACATGAAACAAGTTTAAAGGACAAGCTATCCAAAACAGCAACTAGGCATATTGCAAGCATCAAAACAACATACTACAGGACCACAATAAGAAAACAAAAGACATGGGCATGATGTACAGGTAAAGCATAACAAAACATGAACACTGAGCTATCTCTAGAAATCACTAGAACATGCTCAAACACACATGGTAAGATTGCAAGTTATAACAATTCAGACTTTGCAGAAAATAACATCAGGTTGCAATGTTCAGAGCTATCAAGCAACATGTTACAGGAACTTATAATGGCAAACAAAGGCATGGCATGAATCTACTAAATGCATAGATCAAAAGTCCCTTAGTGACCATAAGCCAAAAGGGATCGGAAAATATGATGGCACCCACGTATACATAGCAAGTTATAATACAGATTCATACATGGCAGGAACATAATTATGAAAGCATGTAAATGAGCTTGTGCAACTCACTACAGATCAATATATGGCATGGCAAGGCACCCAACAGTAAGAAGACATATTTTTGAAGCTAAGCATGGCAATAGCAAGTCCATAGGGTGCATGGAGCACTAGGAAAACACATGGAAACAACTGAACTTAATGTTAAAAGGCTGACAACAACATCATCAAGCAACTTTGGAGCAAGATATGAACAAGCTACAGCAACCTATAAATGCAACCAGGGGCATGGATGGATAGAGGATGACATGTAGATCAAAACATGTTTATAGAACATCTCCAGATTATGCATAGAATGATTAGTAGCAACATGTTTATATAGCATCACGAAATAACAGATTCAGTCTAGCAAAACAGCAACAGCGAGTACCCTACTTAACAAGCTCGATACACTCACCACAAGTCATTGCATGACAAGATAAGCATAGCATCATCAAGAAGACATGTTTGTGTAACCAACCAAGGCAAGAACAAGTCCATAGCATGCAAGGATCAACTATAGCAACCTTGGCCAAATTGAATAACACGTAAACAATCTGCCAGGAAACATTTTGAAGCAAAAGTAGAGCACGAAAATGACATGCTAGACTACTTCATAATTGCAACCAACGGCATGAATGGATAGACAATAACCTATTTTTCAAAACATCCTTACTGAAGTATCTCAAAATATGCATGGATCTCTCTGTAGCATCAAGTTTACATGGCATCAAAATAACAGCAGAACAGGGACCAAAATCAG